CATATGCTTTGGTAATTCTGAACAGTTACGTGCCGACGAGTTGCGAGGTTTACGTTTGTAAAAATACTCATCTGGTTCTAAAAATAATATGTATCGATAAATATAACATGATGTTTTTATTTTTTTCCTCGTGTACTTACTCATGACACGAATGATAGCCCGTTGGTCCCAATAAGCTCTGTCTTCTTTCTCCTCATTAGTTTTTGGATTGAGTAAAGGCTGTGCCTTATTCTCATTCATAAGAACAATGACAGGCTTGTTAGTTATTAGATCGAAAGGCTTGCCATTATGGTCTTTAACCTGTTTAGAATAAAAAACATGCAGCATCTTCTCCGTTCACATTTTATGACAAGACGAATACACTTACAGTTACATGACTTTGCCCTGTTAATACATTTCTTTGGTTAGGATAACCCATTTTCTCCCACCGTTTCCAATCAATGTCGTCGGAGATGAAATAATTAGCACTATTGCTCCAATTCTCGAGGTTAAAGTTTCCTCGACAATGGTTGAGAACGCCATTTAATGAAAGAGCAAACGATGTTTTTCCTAAATTTTTTTAATAGAAAATTTAAAAAAAAAGCATACTAGTCTAGTTGAAAAATGATTTATATACCAACGCTTGTTGAGCCAATTAAAAATAGAGCAAGAGGTCGTCCGTATTCTACGAAGTCCTCGAAAAGCCAATCATTCATGCCATTTCCTATTTTTTGAAATTATTAAAATAGACTGAATCATATTGTATACATATAAGTGAAAAGAGACATACTGAGAACTGGTGTACAATCAGGAAAACTATGCCCCCAACAAAATGTTTTATCGTAGATATCCTGTTTAGCCTTTTCAGCTCGGAATCGTTTGTTAAGATAACGGAGATTCGGTTCATGCCTATTCATTAAAATTAAAATAAAAAACACACAAATGCATAGAATATTTTCTTATTGTTCTAGACCAATGCTTCAATGATGTTAGCATTGAGACAAGCATATGTACCGTCTTAGGCAGTTGACAGCATATTCTGGGTCTTTCTGGGCTAAGTGATCTAGACCTTCTTCGACGTTCTGTGTACCTATTTGCGCTACTTCAATAGCAAGAGGTCCCATAAGTCCGAATTTGCGTTTATCTGATAAAGTAAAAACAGCGATAAGTTGTAGAATTTCATTTCATTTTACTTGTTTTTATTTCAGATTCTGGCCATGTTGGCGATTCTGAAGAGTTACACGAACTTTCAAATGTGCCAAATTCCACAAAATCGAGTCCTAATTTAATTAAGAAATATTATTTTATATTTCAAGACAAATATATTTCGTTTTATATGAAAACCATTGCAAAAATTTGTTTTTCTAACCTTTTTTCAGATAGTCGTTCCATGCTCGATCACTTCTAGTCACGTGATATTTGACGCCACATGCTATTTCGTTCAAAAATCAACAAAAAAATAGTATAATGTTGCAGAGTGTTCCAAGATTCGAAACGAAAAATAAAATCATAAGTAGTTCCTTAACACCCCTAGAGTTTAAGATATTTATTATAAAGTTTGATCTTATATTCATTCTAGTTGTAAATGATATACATATATATATGTCAGATAAAATGTCTGTGTCTACAGAAATTACAATTAAAATAGTTTTACTCAGTGTGAAATCCGGATGAGCTACTCATACAGAAAGAAAAATCTAAAACGAAATTTGACAAAAATACACCGAATGAATCCTGTAATAGAACTACATTTGAGCGATTTTGTGAAAATATTACTATCGAAAATTAATCCCATTCCTGAAGGCCTATTTCAATCACTGAATAAAAAATCGACGAAGTCGAGGATACTGGTGAGGATTAACCAAGGTAAAATATTTGGTCTATTGCAAACACTTGTTCATTATCATAATCATCATCAGATCCGATGATGATGGTAGAATTTTTCTTTAAGCCAAAAAGGTAAAAATGAAGATAATGTCTTTCTGTTTCTAAATGTAGCTGCTTGTCATCTGAATATTTTCGTCAATAAACATAACGCCAAGTATTGGGGTGAAGAAAATTGTCATGTAACCATTGGAACTATCAAACAATCTCTGAAAGTTAATGTTCGATGTCCAATGTCAGAAAACTGTTCAATTAGATCTTTCTTTTTTGATGATGACACCATCAATGAACAAAATTATCTAAGAAAATTTTCAAGACTCTTTTATGGAATTTTTTTTTTCTTATGAGTTCATATCAAGAAGAATGTTGGTAAGGCATTTGTAAAAGAATTCGTAGAGGTGAAGAAGAAACTTGAGAATGAAATAAAGAAGATATTAAAAGAAATCATGCTTAACGTTTTTCTACATTTTGTAAAAACGATGAACTGATGTATTTCAGTTGCAGTTGATTATGCCAATATTGAAATTATCTTATGTTGAACTTCGTCTTTCCTTCTTATCTTATCTTTATTCTTCTTTTCTTTGTGCATATATCTGTGTCGATTGTTCGATTGTTCTTTCTTGTGTTTGTTTCTCTTTGCTATGTTATCTTAAATAGGCATGTACTGAATATGTAGAAGACACACTCTACACACTAAAATAAAATGTGTTGCATGTGTTGCACTTGCACCTGCGATACTATAATATTTGTCACTACTTTGATCTTATTGAAATCGCTTTAACTGTTAAAGAGATATTCAACTTTTGGTTTTCATTTAGATTTTTGGAACACCCTGTAGAAAAAACAATAGCAATAGATAAAGAAGAAATGATACATACGTAGACAGTCTTTCATGAATGACTTATTGGCCTGTAATATGTCATTAAGCAGAATTTGAATATGAAGTCTCGGTATTGATTGATCGACTACAGGTTCATTAGCAACACAAACGTATCGTAACTTCTTTTCAGTAAACCAACGAAGTATAGCTTCACGTACGTCTTCTTCTACAAAAAGTTCAGAGATAGTGTATAGGTTGCATGAACATAATAGAAAAAAGTGAACAATTGTTTTGTATGCAAAATAGTTACTTACTCGGAATATTCGACCAACATGATATAGCAAAAATACCGGCATCAAGTCTACATTTTGCCTCCCTATTTGCGTCCAACATTGCTTGATCATTGAAATTCGGCAATCGAAATGCTTTTTTTCGTGCAATAGTTGCGCGATCTGATATCGTAGAACATACAAAAAGAGAAAGAGATAGAGACGGATATGGACAGACAACTACTAGATCGTATAACTGACCCATTTTTTCGTATTCAAAATATGGCCGGTCATGAGCAGGAACTGAACCTGATCGATGCATTGGTCGATATGCATGAGTCCATAATTTGCCGTGATATTGCGTATTCGCACCATAACTAATAGTATTCCCAACAATAGTATAGCGTGTTGAGCTTGTGTTCAACATGAAATCTAAAATAATATGGCTTAAGAGTGAAATTAAGTATGCTATTTTGGATAGATATTTACGTTCGGAACTTGTTTCCATTCTCGAATCATCACCATCAACAGTGACAAATGTTGAAGTTGTTGTATGTGATGCCATAGTAAAAAGAGAGCGTGAACAATCAAACAAAGAAATAGACGAATATCTAAAATAGTATGAAATCCTTATCAATTCATGATATCATACTTATTGATGATTTTTATTATTTTCTATTTTGCTTGTTAAATAACCCTTTCATATTACGGATCAGATTCAGCAGATTTCATCTCTTTTTTTATTTTTTTATAAGGATTGTATTCTAATTAAAAAAAAAAAAAAATTAAAAGTCAACACTTAAACAGACAACAAGATGTACAATGCAATATGAGTCGTCACTTTAACCAATGATTCACTCTCGATTCATGGAATAAACATCATACCCATAATGAAGAAATTAATAAGAAGAATAATCGACAAGCCACAATCAATTTCATTGCATTTTACTTCGTAAACTGTAAATTGATCCGATTGATTCGTTCTGGAACATCTGAAATCTAATCGTCTGCAAACCACTATTGTGCCATTGCGTAGTTACTTTACATACAGTAAACGACAAAAATCTCCACCCTACTAAATCTTTGCCATAATGCATGCAGAAGATCTGAAACTTGGTATTAACATAGTCCACCAAGAGTGTCGATCAGAGCTAGAATCTTGCCCTAATAGCTTAAAAATAATGAGAATAATATTGGACAGCAATGGTTGGCGCTTATTTTCTCTTTGAACTTAGCATTTCTTAAAAAAAAGTTTTTTTGTAGGTCAGTCGATCCGTCATTACTTATGGCTATACTCCATTTATCTACGCCGCTAATTTTAACCAAAACTATAAATACATTTTAGAATTATGACCATCTTACATTAACTATGGAGGGGCAAAAACTGCGTAATGTCCTTGGTAGACCATAACTCAGTAATTCTTCAATTAATTGATCTGAAATCTTTAGGAAAGCTTTGCTCGTAGTTATATATTACTGCCTAAAATTCTCAGAAAATAACCTTCTTCTACGAAGAAATGACATGAAAATAATCGTCATGTCAGTGTCAAAGACTTAGAAGCATTCAGTGGTAGCAATCTTGGAGGAAATTAAATGATATTTTCAGTAGAGAAAGACCATAGAATGAGTTTTAGTTATATTTAAAATGATCAAGCATCATCCAGGTGTTTGATGAAAAATTAACGCATCATTTAGTAGACAGCTTTTTTTAGGTTAAAAAGTCCTGCTGCGAAAATTGTCCTCGATCATCATTATCGCTTTTACATTTTAACTATTGGGGTGAACTCATGTCTTGGACCTACATTCTTCACCTAGTACATGTACACTGATTTTTAGACGTTCTGTATGTACAGTGGCTCCAAAAATTATTCATACAGGTGTAATTTCGATTTTTTTTCCTAATGGTAACTTCTATGAAGAATCCAAATGGTGATTTGGATAGAGAAAATTGTTTCCAATAAAGGTTCCAGAAAGATGAAATTCTCATGTTATTCCCCAAAATCAGAATCTCTGGAAAACCGAAAACCTATTTTTTCAGCACCCAGACCCCGAAAATAAAAGTTTGTTTTGATTACACAGGATGATAGAGCAACGAATTCTCTACAAAATGAGATATCTCCAAGCTTTCCATGACAATTTTTTTACTGAACTGCATCAGTTTTAAGGAACATCCTAAAGTGCTTTTTGTCCGATTTTCCCGTAGTAAATGGTGAAAACACCATTTTTGAGTGTTTCTT